CCTGCTGTGTTCATCCAGCTCTACACCTTGTTATCTCTTGAGTCAAGCATGTTTGCAGAGTCTGCTAGTCTATGTGGCACTGTTAATGATCGTACCACCAGCCAAGCTCTCCAGTTAAACCTGGAAAGATTGGACCCAATAATGAACTTTGATTTTTACCACTCAGCTTCACAAAACTCTGCAAGCCAGTAGGAAACCCCTGGTCACTTACAGTTTGAAACTAAGTAATATAAACCACTATAAAGTATTGGCTGCTGTAAAAGCTTAACTCTCAATCATTTCAGGGAAAATTATACACACATTTAAAGGTTTTAGTTTGGTCGGTATATTTAGGCTAACACAACAAAACAGATAGATGGAGTTAAGGCACAGATCAGCCATGATCTAATTGAATACAGAGAAAGCTCAAGGGCCTGAATGGTCTATTTCTGTTCTTATGTCTTCATATCAATTCATCACTCTACTACTTTAATGTAGGCAGTAGTCTACTTAATGATATTAGTGAAATAGCAGCAAGAGGAATTTGATGTAAGCCTGTTCAACTTTTGTACAATAAGATCATCAGCTATAATTTCCAGGCTTATAAACCCATTATTACATTTCATGGAACATTAGCAAGGTCAACTTCAAACTTTCTACCCTTTCCATTACCACCCCATTATTAGACACATAATAGGGTGCGCTGCTGTGTGCCAGATATTCCAATGTGCATTCCCAGTTTAGGAAGTTCTGCAAAGGAAGCATTAAATCATCAAATTTATTCTTATATAAAGATAAGTTGTCCTTGAGCTCTGACAGTACTAATTGCAAGTTGGATTCACATGTGGTTGAAAATGTTTAACATTTCACATCTCTTAACAATGTCTAACATTAAATTATTTTACTTCACTGGAATTCCATATAAGTTTATTTGTATTTACTACATACCATTCTAGAGCGAATTTCTTTGGCATACAATGGGAAAAGAAATTCAGACTCTCCTTCCAAACGAAGCCCATTTTCTGTAACTCTTAGATGCCCCATTCCATCCTGCAGAAAAAAAAAGAAATACAACTCAAATTCTGAACCATGCTTCAGAAACAGATGGGCAATTTCAGAATTACATCTGAGAGTAGAGGTAGCAGAGGCCTTTTATTCTGAATGTAGGTAAAGGCCTCAATGGTATCACAGCTATTTAGATTACTTAATACTGCAGTCACCTTTCTGTACCATTATCTTCAGCATAGTGAAAATCCTGTGTGGAATCATAACGCAAGAAGCAACCAACAAAATAAAATACCAAACACTTTTGTTTCACATGTCAATGCCCCCCTAGCAAATATCAGCTTTGATGCAGTAGATTTTATTTCAATAATGAAACAGGCAGGCTAAAACAAGTGACAAAGTGCACAGACACTCAATCATGCAGCATGGGCGATTTTAAGAGCAGATCAAATTGTCATACATCATCCCTCTTTGTCTGAACCCTGCCCAAAATTAGTGGAAAGTAATACTCAGGCAGGATCAAAAACTGGCATTCCATATTTTACTATGGATTCCTTACCTAGTGAGTGACCGTTAGTAAAATTGTCACTTGTGTTATGACCCCAGCCAATGGTAATACTGGATAAGTCAGATCTCAAAGTGAAATCTGGCTTGATAGACAATTATTTTTTAGTTAATGTGGTGGTCAGTCACTGAACATATTCACATAAAGCTGCCACTTCTCCTTTAATAAAACAACATATTTTCATTCATCACTCAAAAGAATAAACAAAAACACTATGATAATCTGGAAAGATCTTTTCAGAAACAGAAGAAACCCTTTTTTCCGAAAAACATAATTTACAGGCACTCAACCTCAATGAAGTATCTGTCCAATTCTTTCTGTTTAGTTTCTTACACAATTGACAAGTTTGTTCGCATTTTCTTTCGGAGCTTCTGCAATTTCATCAGATGTCATTATTTCCATTAGTCCCAAAAACAGTAAAATACAGGTTAACCCACTGACTTTTCTCATTGAAACTTAAGAATACTTAGGACCTTTCCCAGCCTTTTTCCTTGGTATGCTAATTAAAAATTCTTTCAAGTTGGAAGAAGTTCACAATGTACAAACCTTTCTGCTGATATCAATCTTTTCTTCCAAACTTAATCAGTTAGTGACTCTTGACTATTTTGCTTTATATCATAATACACAACTTTGTCAACAATTCAGCAATTATCTCCCGAGGTAGATTGCTAGTCATTCAAATTAAGTCACTAATTTTTTTGGGAATGATGTTTGAACTCTGTTAAAAAATGAATTCTGATTTCTTAGAAAACACAAATGAACATCACAGAACACAGAACTGAAAACTAAAAACCCCTTTTCCTCTACTTCTAAATCCAATTTCCCAAATAATATATTATAAAACTGCATCATACACTTCATCACCACACCATTCAAAAAACAAAGGTACCTTTAAGAGGCATTGTAATTTGCATTGACAATATCATTTGATCACTAATTGTATTTTACTTTGACAGCATTAAGATATTGATGTAAATGCACAAGAATTCTCATAACAATCATATTTTTACACAAATCTACTTTGATGACAATATTAATTTTCTTTCATAATTGTTTCAGGCAAGGCATCGGCTAGCCTATTTTTTTTCCAGTTGGAGAAATCATTTTTAAATGATAGGGTTATTGTGGCATTAAGCTCCAATGAAACCACTCTCAGATTTTTATTATGAAATCTCACTTAAAACAAACGATTAGTCTGTATAAATAAAGGTCATTGTAGAATTACTTGATATGTAGATTTCAAATGATGTAGAACTAATTCCTGGCTCTGATGTCTTTATCTCCACTGTTTAATATTCTTGTTGATACACATTTTATTTCCTGCAAAAATACTTGATTGGTCATTTGGAGAGCCATCTTAACTTTAAAATTGTCAAAGGCACTCTGATATTCTTTTGTCTATTCTACATTCTTGTCTTTCTTTAATAAGCTTGTCAAAGAAAATGCTACAGCGTTGAAATTCGGAATGAAGCTTGGATAAAATGCACTCATGCCAATTTATCACAGAATTTGGCTTAGGCATGGAAAACCCAAGATACCCTTAATTTTATTTCTCTAGGTATTACTTGGCCTTGTCCCACAGTGTGGTTCAAATATGCCATTTTTTCGTTGGCAATTTCACTTTTAATCAAATTTGTGACCAAATTAACTCTTTCTAACTGATCAAATAGTTTGTCAAGTGTAATAAATGTTCTTTCCAGGTTAGGTTGAACACAACCAAATAATCAATCTAGACAACACAGTTGTGCAATCTTCAATAGCTTTGTCAGTTAATAGTTGAAACATTGCTGATGCATTTTACCTTCCAAACGACATGACTTTACTTTGATAAAGTAAAGCAAGTGTTACAAAATCTAACTTTTCTCTGGTTGTTTCTGTCAATTGAACTTGCTGGTATCCCTTTAAATACTCAATTTTCATAGTAAATTATGTTTTACCAATCCCATCAAGACAATCATCCAATCAGGGAATTGGATATGATTCCACCTTTGTTACCGCATTAACTTTGCGATAGTTGATACATAGTCTTTATGATCAATTCACTTTCGACACCATCACCATTGGTGAGATTCAGCTACTTGTTATGCCTCATTGGATAATTCTGGAAATCAAGTCCCACATTTTCCAGAGGCATCACAAAAGGTAAAGATTTTAAGAAGTATGCTGACTTTCCCAATTTGCTGTCATTTATATCCAGGTTGACAGAAAGCTTAGACCAGGTTTCTGTACCTAACAAAATTACTATTTATTACAAATAACTAGATTCTAACCACAGACTAACAATCATGGACCTATGGTATACAACTTTACTTTTTAAAACTCTGATCTGCTTATTATCTCCTCCCTACAAACATACAGTCAGACACAAATAAACATGTTATGTATGGGGGAAGGAAAGACTGGGAGAGAGTTTAATTGTATCTATTCACAGGGTTTGCTAAGATCATCCTTTTGCTGATCAGAATGCTGCTTCTTGATTTTTCTTCCTCCAAGTACTTTCACTTGTTTTCAGGAGGCACAGGGTGACTGCTTCAAATTCATAAATGTCTCTGACTTATTAACTAAATGTTACACCATATAGCAACTGATGAGGGTAAATAAACTGGCTAACTTCAGATGTGAGATGCCTTTAACTGCACAGCAAAAGCCATTCCTTCCCTTCCAGTCGTCTGGTGGCTTTTCCCTCAAACATTCACACCTATAAGCTGTTCAGCAATATAGGAGCTAAACGCAAAGTTGTTTGCAAGCAGAAGGCATTTGTCATTGATAATGGGTTACCATGCCACAGCTACTTGTTGCTCTTCAAATCTCCATTTATGCCCATCCTTGGCTTTAACTCACTTGCATCTAGATATTTCCCTGCTGCTTACACATGCAGCTGTGTAAACAATATTTATGATGACTGTCAAGTAACTTGCTTTTAAAATGTACAATCATCTTTCAACAATCCTTAGCTTTTTAAATTGTTCTCTTCTTCTTTCAGTCCACAATCAAAAATGCAAAAAAATATATAGTCTTTACATACTTTAACTTGGTTCAGTACTATTACTGTCCATCATGAAATTAATCTCTTTGCTCACTTAAGTTCATTTCTTTGGGTTGAATCTGTAATAATGCTATTTTATGGGTAATGCATTCTGTACATAAATATTATCTATAGCCAAAGATGCTTATCCTGGAATGTTTACACAAGTCAGTTCTTGATTATGGATAACTTTTGTAAATCATTTCAATAGTTTCCTTGGAGATGGGATAATATTCTATATATATTTGTAAATACCTCTGTATTATCCAATCACTAGAGGGTCAATTTTTGATTTTTCAATTTCTGATTAATTTTAAATTGTTCTGATCTTTTCTATTTCACTCACTATTTCATTCACCACTGCAAACACAGTTGTGTTCAGACTATCCTCTTCAATCACTATCACTTTAACATATTAATATGACACAATAATGATTATTCACTCTGTCTGGAATGCTCACTACATAATTATGTCATTGAGTTCCTTTTTGATTTGATAAGCTCCAGTGAAACTTGTTTTCAATGTTTCCCCAAGGACTGTACAAACACCTTATCCCAAATAACATTCTGAGCTTTGGTCTTTTAATCTGCTCTAGATTTCCTTGATTGTTGAGCGCTTTTCAAATACAACCCGCACATTTTGATTCTTTTTAAACAGAAACATGACAAATATGTTGGACGTATATTGTCTGAGCTCTAGTTAATTCCTCTAACCATTGTCTCACCTAATGTCCACCAGTTCAAAAAGACTGAACTATGGAGACTCATTGTGTGTAGCCGTAGGGGAAAACACTAATAAGAAAATTCCTTTATCCCAATCATTAGAACATTTATGACAATGATGTCTAACCATGGTCTTTAAAGTTTGGTGACAACTTTCCAACACTCTTTGCGATTGTTGATGATAAGCTCAAGATGTAAATTGTGGTACTCCCAAATTATTCATGAGTACTTTGAATGTTTGTGACATAAAATTTGAACCTCGGCCAGTTTTATTTGTTTGGGTAATCCATATCTTAAAATAAGTTGGACTAAATTTTGCACATCTGTTTAGGTCATATACATTAAGTACTGTTCCTGTCGCCACTTCAAAGTCTGCAGATTGTTATGGAGTTACAGAATCATAGAGCCGTACAGCATGGAAACAGGCCCTTCAGTCCAACTAGTCCATGCTGACCAGATATCCTAAATAAATCTAGTCCCATTTGCCAGCATTTGGCCCATATCCGTCTAAACCCTTCCTATTCATATACCCATCCAGCTGCCTTTTAAATGTTGTAATTATACCAGCCTCCTCCACCTTCTCTGGCAGCTCATTCCATACATGCACCACCCTCTGTGTGAAAAAGTTGCCCCTTAGGTCCCTTTTAAATCTTTCCCCTCTCACCTTAAACCTAAAGTAACCTAAGCCTTCTAGTTTTGGACTCCCCCTATCCCAGGGAAAAGTCCTTGGCT